TGGTGATAGACAGGAAGAAAATGGCCCTTTCAAGATCTCACCCTAAAACAGAATATGTTCACATGATAATAATTTAGAACTGGTTTCTTATTGCTAAGTGGAATACCCTCCTAGAACAGATGGCAGAGTGAGTATGACAGTTGTGATGGCTCAGGAAATAAATTCAGAAAGATTTTGCAGACAGAGGGATTGTTTTGAATATCCAGTCAGACCTGCTGTGTACTGCCCAGGGAACACCTGCATCCCACCGAATGCTTTAGCTGAGCTGAAACAGAAGGTAGGAAACAAGGCTGAGACTGAAAGCAGACCAGTCCGTCCCAGTGCCTGGTATCCTTGAAGTGGTAAATCTCCGTATTTCTGGGATGGCTTCTACATCCCATCATGACTCCGGCTCTGGTATCTTATGCTAGTTAAAAAAGCTGCCTATGCTCAGAAATAATTTTCCTCATAGATAGCAAACTTCTCCCCCTCTAACATCCTTCACAATACAGACATTTCATGTTGCAGAAGCAAACATGGATCCAAGCCTTTGGCAAGAGCTGGTCTTCTTGCAGGAAGTAAAGCCATCCTGCAAGTTGAGGAGAAGGACCATACGTGACTCAAGAGAAACCAACAGCTGTAATTATCTGCACAATGAAATAAGGATCTGTTCAAGAGATATTTACCTCCAGTGGCTAAAAGGCGTCCTCTGAGAGGAACAGAGCCCTTCTTCCTACAGACAGGACATTCATACACAAGCCAAAGTGAAGTTGTAGTAACAGGTTTAGAAAGAAATTTTAGAATAAAAATTAAGTTAGTGTTTACATTTGGGCTTGCCTACTGAAAAGCTGAAGTTTGTAGTTGCTTCAGGGAGTGGACTAGGACTGCAACTCTGCTAGAGGCTTTCTCAACAAGAAAGTTTAAGCAAAGCAGGACAGGAGCCTGCAAAGATATCAGAAAGGGAGACAGTAAGAAAAAACAACAAGTTAGAAGCAGAGGAAAAAATATCAGAGAATAAACCGAAGAAAACACCACTGAAGTATTCTGTTAACATCAAACATAAGAAAAGCGAAATTTAAACTAAACTTTATTATTTTACATGAAAGCTCTAACCTATTTGAATCCGAGTTGCAATATAACAAAGCTGGGTTTGTATATGCTGAAGAAAAATATGAGATTTTGTTTTGGTTTCAGTTCTTGCCTTCTGTAAATGGCATGGTTAAGAATATCGCTGATAGATGTACCTGGATGTGTACCATGATATCAGGTCTGTGAGGTTTTGCCAAGCAAGGCACAGCTGGTATGATAATACCACATAATGGATCATAGATCAGCAGTTATCAGCTTAAATACTTATCAAAAGGGGATGATTTAAACAATTTACCACAATTCTGAGAATCAAAAATAGAACGGTGGAAAGTTGTCTGAAAATTGTTGAAAGAAAAAACCTTGAAGAGCTCAGCTCAGATTGCTGCTGTCTAAATGAAGGACAGCTACATTGAAAGTCACCTTTTGAAAGATATAAGAGAAAGGCTACAGTCAGGCTACCTGAGTGCTCATTTCAGAGAAACAGGTATTGTGAATTTCTAAAATTCCAGAAGGAGATAGAGATAAAAATACTTCATTAAAGTGTTACATTAATAAAAAGCTTGTACAGCCCCAAGCCAGGAGATACACACATGATAATACATTATGGGCACAAAGATGGTAATTCTGAACTCACACCTCATTAGTGATTGCAAAGCAAGAACAAATCAAAAGGAGAAACTGGAGGCTCTTCCTCCATGGAAAAAAAAAATGAAAGAGAAACAAATCTGAATCTTAGGAACAGCAGTTAGTGGCCAGATGGGGTCTGTGAAAAGGACTGATCTCCCAGCACAACACCACAAAATTTTGCAGAACTTGTGGAGTGGCTCACAGAGGCACCTGTGACCTTTCCACTGGGACAGAAGCTGATGCAGGTGCCTCGAAATGCAAGACCTGCCCCAGCACCTGCTCCCTGAAGTGAGTTGCACAGACACAGACAGCCACAGGCAGGTGAACACCTGACTGTCACGCACTGCAGTAGGTCATGGACACGTGTAAGGTGACAGAGTTACAGATGGGCAAGGAGCATCACACAGAGGTTGCAGTCACGTGAACAGCTGTACACCCAAATGTGCAGCATACAAACGGGACTCTCAGGTAGTAGAACAGGACAACAACCGAATGGTTTCCATGATGGAATATGGAGACTGTTTTGTAATGTACACAGGGAGAATACCTGGCACAGACCTCACACTCTCCAGAGCAGCATGCATGAATACACTGTAGCTTATACAGGAGCAGGCATTGTCAAATGGAGGATCTCCCCAGCCTGCAGAGAAGTCCCTGCTGTTGTCAGGAGGTACACACACTGGACTGAGGCAAATGATGCATCCCAAGTTTCGTGAGCTGCACACATTGTTAGGTTTTGTCACATTTCCAGTGGACTGTCACACACACAGTGAAGTGAGTGATGTGTACACAGGCAAGTGTCATCCTACACGTGTGTATTCTGGAGTCAGTCACAATCCCTGCAGTGCAGTCAGCTTCTCCTGTGGACCAACAAGATTCTCAAACACATGCACACTGAGTTCAGTGCTCACGCACTTGTGATGCTCCAAAGGGTCTCATAAATGCACTGGAAGGAGACACGTGTTTTCCTGCTCCTCCACAGACACACAGTGCCTGGAGGCAATCTACAGAGTGAGCTTTAGAGGAGACATGGACTTATCTGCTGAGCATGGCTGGCTCCCATCAGTCAGCAGGGAGAAGGACCCATTCATCTCACTGATGTTGGAGCTCAACATAAGGTTTGTTCCCCTCTCCATTAACTGACTACAAAAGGATGATGGGTGGCAGGCTGTCAGACAGGCAGATTCATCCCTGCCACACGTATGCTGGTGTGACTCTTGCACATACTGAAGCAAGACTTTCCCTGTCCTCCACATGCTACACATACTACTGATGGGTTCCATGTGTGCAGGTCACTATCCATGTGTGCAGCAGGTTGCACTAACATGGATAAGACCCTCATATACACTCGTGGTGCAGTGAGTCACACCAGTCACTGATTCTTACAGATCAGGGGCAAGTGTCTTGTGCACAGGTGTACACAGACACACATACCGCCAGCTTACACACAACCACACAGATGCACACATGCAGCTGGATCTCACATGGCTGTCCCATAAGCACACATAAAGGTCAGTCTCCTGTGTGAGCAAATCCTACCCATTCAGGGAAAGCCACACATAGATGGCACAGGCAGTTCAGCCTCAAGGTGTGTGCTTACATGCACCCCTGTGAGTCACACTCACAAAAGAGTCTCTCACATGCACACAGGTGTCTCCTGCACAAGCAAACATCTCTACACTTTCATACAAGGTTGAGTTTCTCACATAAAGTTTTGTGAGACTCTCATACACAAACACGCAGGTACATATCCCATAAAGAACACACCAGATGTAGCCCAGTCACTCTGCCTTGCAGGTATGCCTTTGCGCACATGGAGACCTCAAGAACTCTGTGGGCAAGTTTCACAACATGCACATGTTCTCTCTCACACACAAGGAAGTGTAGTGGGTCAGGCAGCCCACCCTGCAGGAGGTCACACATGCATATGTGCCTGGGCTTCATACACACGCATCTATACCTGTCCTTGCACAGGTATAGATTACATCTATGCAGTGAGTCACGTGTGCATACCTGGACAGACACACACACGTGTTCATACACACCTAAACACAGGACTGGTAAAGAGCAAAATCAGGGCGTGAAAGCACACAGATGTGACTTACCCAGACAAACACACAAGTCACACATGCTGCAGAGTGAGGCAGGCAGGCACACCCAGAGCAGGTTGTGCACAGTGGGTGTTCATTAACAAATTCACACAGGATGGTGACTCACACACACATATGTACAAGTGTTACCCAGATGAGGATGTCACACATACCCCGACAGTGCATTTCTCACAGACACAGAAGTGCCACACAGAGGTGTCTCACGTGCTGCAGTCAGATGCACACATGAAGCAAGTTGTGCACTCAACCGAGTGTTGCAGAGACACATGCACTTGAGAATGTGTCACACACACAATTCATACATGCTTGGGTGTGTCACACAATGTCTTTCAGGCAAAACGGATTTCACACCTTTGGGTGCGTGTAACAAATGCACACACAGTGTCTCAGATATTCAGAGATGTCTCACACAGACATGAGTCTCTACAAATCCAGACACAGTGTCTCAGACGCGGGGTGTCATAACCGCTGGTGTTACGACACACATGGTGCCTCACACACCATCTCTCACAGACAGGAGACAGGCACACAATGTCTCACACTCTTCAGACACAGTGTCTCACGTGGCACCTTTCACGGACACACAGGTGTCTTACTGTTACAGATATGGTGACTGTCATACACACGGGTGCCTCTCACAGACACGTGGGTATCATCAACGCACCCACGGGATGAAACAGCGTCTGTCCCTTACACACAGTATCCCTCACACACACGCTCGCGCACACACACAGAGGTGTGTCGAGCACACCGGTGACACACAGAGTGGTCCTCGGACAGTATCTGTCACACACAGACACACGCATGAGGTTTTTCCCGTGCACTCGCACACACACGGTGTCTCTCCCTTGTCTCTCAGGGTCATACACGGTTTCTCTCTCTGTCCCGCCGACACGAATGTCACAACCGCGGATCGCTCTGCGCACCCGCGTGGCCTCTCCTCCCCCAGCTTCCTCCCCCTCTCCCCTCCTCCCCCTTCTCCCTCTCTTCTCCTCCCCCTCTCCCCCTCCTCCCGTCCCGCCTCTCCCGCCCCACCCCGAGCCGGCGGTGCCCGTGGGCGCCGAGGCTGCTCCGCTCCCGCTGCCCGCGCTGCCCGCGCCCGCCGCGGCCCCAGGCGGAGCGGGGCCCCCGGAGCGGAGGGGCCGGACCCTCCCGCAGCCCTGCGGGTACGGGCGGCGGGCGCGTCCCGGCGGGATGTCGGGGACCCGCTGCCAAGCGCTGTACCCCTTCTCCGGGGAGCGGCACCGGCAAGGGCTGCACTTCGCCGCGGGGGAGCTGATCACGGTGCTGCAGGTGCCAGACGGCGGCTGGTGGGAAGGACAGAAGGAGGACGGGCTGCGAGGCTGGTTCCCGGCCAGCTACGTCCAGCTGCTGGAGGTAGGACCGGGGCCGCGCCGAGCGGGCGGCGGGGAGCGGCGGCCCGGGGATGTCCCGCGGGAGTGCCGGCAGTGCTGGGGGGGCCCTCGCGGCCCACACGACGCTGCTCTTGGGCACCCCCTCGGCATCGCTGTGCCCTGTGCCCCGGGCAGGTGCCCCGGCTGAGGCTGCTGGGTGCTGTAAGAATCTGCGGCGCTCGGAGGGGGAGCCGCCTGCCCGGCCCCGCTCCGGCAGGTAGAGCATTTGGTACCCGCAGTCGTAGCCGTGAGCAGGGCTCAGGTGCGTGGCGAGCTGTGGGATGGTCCGGACACTTGGGTTTTCACAATCGGTAAAGAGCAGCAGAAGTCAGTGGCTGCGGTGAGGCAGCCCCTGCCAGTCACTCACGAGGGCCAGATGCTGGGCAAGTTACACTCCCTCTCTCTCCCCTGCCCGCTCCCTTTCATTTCTTTTCACTGAAAGTCTCATGGCTTTATGTTGTGGAAGAGGTAATTCAAATATAGAATCATAGAATCACAAGATGGTTTGGGTTGGAAGGGACTCTAAAGATCATCCCATTACACCCTGCTTGCCATGGGCAGGGACACCTTCCACTAGACCAGGTTGCTCCAAGCCCCATCCAACCTGGCCTTGAACACTTCTAGGGATGGGGCAGCCACAACTTGTCTGGGCAACCTGTGCCACGGCCTCACCACCCTCATGGGTGGAAGAATTTCTTCCTAATATCTAATCTAAATCTACCCTTCTTCGGTTGAAAGCCATTCCACCTTGTCCTGTCACTCCATGCCCCTGTCTGAAGTTCCTCTCGAGCTCTCTTGGAGCCCTTTTTAGGTACTGGAAGATGCTCTAAGGTCTCTGTGGAGTCTTCTTATTCTCTTCTCCCCTTCTGTTGCAGCAGTTCCCCAGCTGGCTGCAGAAACCTTGCTACCATATATGTGGCATGGCTCAGGGAGCCCCAGCAGAGGTCAGTCACCCAGACCCAAAAGTCATGGACTTTCTGTCACAATGCTGAGAAGTTCTATTGGTTTTAGTTGTTTTCAGGGCCCTAACAGTTGGGGTGACAGTTGGATTCCCACCTCAGGACTGCTTGTACCTGAACATATTTATTGTTTTCTGTCCCATGCAAACAAGACACAATGAGAGTGTAAAATATATGTCCATGAAGGGTGCCTTCACGATCTCTGCATGTGAAATCTGAAACATCTTGTGCACCAAAGCAAGAACCTGCCATGACCCCCTCAGTCCTTCCCTCACTGGCCATGCCCTGTTGTCATTTGGAGGATATGGGTATGGCAACAGTCTCTGGGAGCATCTCCATGCAGTGACTGGGCTGAAGCCATTAGCAGCACAGCGTTTCTCAGGTCAGCTTCTGTTTGTCCTCCAGGTTCCTAAGGACCAGCCTACTTTGCTTGTATGCAAGGCTGGCGGTGCCCATCTCAGATTTTCCATGCATACCTTCCAGGGAATCCAGAGGGGCAGGAACCTGCCCACCAGTTGCATGTAGAGCAATGTTCTGTGAGTAAAAGATTCTGTGCAAAAGGACGTTTTGCCCACAGATCTGGCATTGTCTTTTGGTTTCTCATGTCCGAATAAATTAAAAAATCTGTGATGTTTCTGTTGAGTTCCTGTTTGTCATTATTACTTGGACAGACAGGAAAGCAGGAGTAAAACTTGCCCACTTAGTGCTACAAGAGTGAGTCCAGGGACTTTCTCGCGCCACTGAAGCACTTGGGATTTCTTTTGTTAGTTTTAGAATGTGGGAGTCCTTTTGTTTGGCAGTTTTGCCACCTACAAGATCATTTACTGAGATATGTGAATGTTTGTAGTTTCACAAATTCACAACGCTGCCTCCGTACAATCCTAAACATCCACTGGTCAGATTATGTGACTAATACATCTGTTCTAGAACAAGCAGCAGTCACAAGTATTGAGGCCATGTTGCTGAGAACACAGCTGCGATGGGCAGGACACGTCTCCAGGATGAAGGACCACCGCCTCCCAAAGGTTCTGCTTTATGGTGAACTTGCCACTGGCTGCCGCATGAGAGGAGCCCCGAAGAGAAGATACAAGGACTCCCTGAAACAACATCTCAGCCTTGGCCATATTGATCATCATAACTGGTCTACTCTGGCCTCCAATCAGGAGGTCTGGAGACACACCATCTATAACGCTGCCGTTTCCTTTGAGAACGCACACAGGATCACTCTTGAGGAGAAAAGACAACGCAGAAAGAATCGTGCCCTGCAGAATTTACCACCTAAGGAGTCTTTTTGCTGTGCCTTTTGCAACCGAACGTGCCTGTCTTGTATTGGCCTTTTTAGCCACCAGTGCGCTTGTAACAAACGTGGGTAGAGACCCTTCCCAAATCTTCATTCGCGAAGCCTGGCCATGATGAAATATTTGCACATCTAACCAGGAATTTAGGAATTGTTTGAGGCAAAGTGTATCATGAGATGTGACAAACTCTGCTAAGCAAAGGCAGGGGGGAATCACTTCTGCAAACACCATAACTTTGCTTTCTTGTCATCTTCTTGGAAATTCCCCTTTCCCTGCTTAAGTCTGAGCAAGTTCTACTGTTCTCAGATCAGTGCCTGCAGTCCCGCACATGTGCCCTTCTGACCCTTGGCTCAGGTACCAGTGAAAATGTTGCTGAAGACCAGTTGTCTATACAGCCTGGCCTCTTTTCTCTTGAGCAAACCTTCAGGAAGAAGGCAAGAAAGATGGCAAGTGCTGAGTATGTTCACTCTGTCATGTTTTCCTTTACTCCAGAGATGGTAACTAATAAGGACTATAAGCTGGAGTTAATAAATAGGTCAAATGACAGCTAATTAACCAAATTTATCAAATTTATGGGATCAGAGGTGCTTGGCACACATCACAGTAGATCACAGGTACTTGGCACATAGAAGAAGGAAGCTCTGTGTATGTCTGTCATGGCTCTGTGCAGGTAGCCTTTCCCTTGTGTACAGGTAGCCTTTCCCTTGTGTACAGGTGGCCTTTCCCTTGTGTGCAGGCATGCAGCTTCCTCAGGGACCTGATCCAGCTGAAAGACGCCACAATAGAAATACTGTTCTTCTCTGTTCTCTGATCCGAGTCCCTACCCAGTCACATTGACATTGGAGCTGGCTTCAGGGAGGTGATGACAGTGCATGTTCAGATGGGGCCATGGCCATGAGTCTCCCTTCTGTACCAGCCAGCCCTTGCATTGGCTTTGGGTGGCCCTGGCCCTTCAGTAAGGCTCCGTGCTATGTCCTGAGCTGAACTTAACCACACGTTGTTAAAAGAGGAAGATGTTACTCCCTCCCTTTGTCCTGCCATCATTTCCCCACACCCAGTTCACTCCAGAAGGTACCTGTGCTCTCTCTGGAGCCCAAAGGAGAACTAGCTGCATTTTCTGCCACAGCAGTGACTGAATGTGGCTTGCGGCATTGTCCAAGGTTTGCCAGGGCTGATAGTGTTTGGCCTACGTGGCACACACCCTTTCTACTCTCAGCAAAGTCTGTTGAGTGACTGGGAGCTACCAAAAGGAGGTGGCCTTCTGGAGCCTTTGTGACTTGAAGTGTGCATTGCGTTTAGACAGAAAGGCTGGATATTCTCATTCATAGGTCTTCACATTTATCAGCACTGGCATCTCCTCTGACAAAGCTGATCTCAAGTCTGTGCTGAGTTTTGGTCCGGAGCTGAAAGAGGGAAGTGAGAAAGGTGTGAAGAACAGTAGAGAGCAGAATCTCTCCCACCCTCGAGTGGTGGCTCAGCAGCCAGTCTGAGGCGTGCTGGTTCCTGCCGGATGAAGGAGGAGAAATGACTGTTCCCGATGCTATCACTGATTTGGGAGCAACCTGATGCACCAACAGCACCTGTGTCTCCTCACAGGCAGCCAGGCTTTGGAGCTGCCAGCACTGATCATCCAGCTGGCTCCTCCAGCAGCTGAGGATGGGGCAGCTCTCCCGCCTTGTGTACCCTCACAGTGAGTAGTAGCTCTTGGCTCTTGCAAAGAAAACTGGATAGGCATGGCTGGTGGGTAACCTGAAGAGGCTGTAATGGCAAATGAAGAGTTGGGCAGCTCTGAGAAAACCATGAAGATGGCTTGCAGGAAACAAAACCCAGTGCCAGAGATGGGTGTTCCTGAGGGCTGTTGCCTTTGCCACCTCCTGAGTTCTCTTGCTAGCAAAAATGTGTTTTCAATTCATTCATCACAGAAGATCAAGAAAAGAACCAAAAATGTTGGAAGTGTGGTGCAAGCAAGACACAGAGAGGTAAAGACATTTGGCATCCTTTGGTTCCTGCTCCTGTGGCTGCTGCAAGCCCACAATGATGGATTATAGGAAAACAGTGATGGCTGGAGGTTCATGCTCAGGGCAGTGGTGGAAACAATGAGAGCTGGAGGACCATGTGGTAAGGATGAGCCAGAAACGACATGTCTCTGTGAGCTCTGGAGAGGATACTGTTGTCATGAAGCAAAAGGGCTAGCATAAACCAAAAGACTATCAAAAACAGAGAGCAAAGTCAGCAAAGGAGGGTATCAGCTCCATGGTGGGGTTCCGAATGGATTCCCTGAGGCTGGACTGGTTGGGAGAAGTTGGGGAGGCTGCTGTGGTTTTGTTCACAGAATCACTGGATTGGAAGAACCTCAGAGATCAGCTAGTCTGGCTTCCCTGGACATGTCTGTCAGGTTTTGAATGTGTGCAAGGGTGGACACCACAACTGTTCTGGATAATGTGTTCCAGTGTTTGACTACCCTCACAGTTTTTTCTTGTGTCCCTCTAAAGGGATTTTCTGTGTTTTAATTTGTGCCCATTGAATCTCATCCTTTCAGTGGATATCAGTGAGAATAGTCAGTCTCTGCTTTCTTTGGTGTCCCCCTATAGGTTTCTATTCACATTCAGAATATCCCTCTTGAGCCTTCTTGTCTTCATGCTAAACAGTCCCAGTTCTTTCAGCCTTTCCTTTTATGACAGATGCTTCAAGTCCCTTAATCATCATTGTGGCCCCTTGCCAGACTC